GAGGACAAAAGTTCCATGACTCTTTTAAAAGTCTTTGCATTCAGATTTAGTAATTTATCTAGGTCCTGAAGTCATCCACATATGTGAAGCCCATACATGTCAAAAACAACAAACAAAAATAAAAATGGTGTTGGTGGCATAGTTCAGTAGTAAAGCACATGCTTAGGCAGGCCCTGGGTAGGATTAAAAATGAAACCAGAATCAAAAACAAAAACTTGGATAGAGAGAGGGATAGATGTTGGATAGAGTCCTAGGGGGCTGTGACAACTCAAGGCAGGATAAGGAAAGCTCCCACAGGAGGTGGAGAAGGAGTAGGCAAAGAGGAAGCACTCCAGGAATACAGTCAAGAGAAAAGGAGTTTCAAAGAGGGGAAATGGAGGAGCAAGCCTGTAATCACAACACTTGCTGAAGGATTGCTTCCAGGCCAGCCTGGTCTATATAGTGGGTTCCAGGCTAGCTGGGGCAACATAGACTCTGTCTCAAAAAAAAAAAAGGAAAAAGAAAAAAAAAAGCCAGGTGTGGTAGAGTAAGCCTTTAATCCCAACACTCAGGAGGCAGAGGCAGGCAAATCACTGTGAGATCCAGTTCAGTGTGGTCTACATAGTGAGTTCCAGGCCAGGTGGGGCTACAGGGAGATTTGAGGGAGAGAGGGAAGGAGGGAAGGAGGGAGGGAGGGAGGGAAGGAGAGAGGGAGAGATAATGCTGTGAGGAGGCTAGTGAGAGAAGAAATAGCGGTAACTTCTAGCAGGTCTAGTGCTGAACTTGTGGAGGTGAATTAGCTCTGTCAGCAGAAGTTACTTCTCTGGATTGAGAAAAAGAATTAAATGCAAATGGGGATGGTGTGAAGATCTGGGGGGAGGGAAGAAAAACATGCTCCATCTAGATGGTCTTCATTTTTCTTAGAAACACGAAAGGTAGAATGATGGTAGGGATGTTGAGGGGCAAGCAAACATAGGGGTTTGAGGATGGATAACTGCTTTTTACGACAAAGACAAGAGTCGACCCATAGGACTGTTATCTGTGTTTATGGTCATGGGTTGAGTTGTTACTGCTGTTACTGTTGTTTTCTTTTTTTCATATAGAATCTCAAATTGTGGCTCTGGCTGGCTTTGAGCTCCAACATTCTTTGATCTTCCTGACTCAGCCTCCCTAGTAACTGGGACTATAGGTATGTAGCAACATACTCAGCCTGGCTGGGCCTTAAATAGTAATTAGAAAAAGAGACCTGGGGCAGAAACATTATGGACTGAGCATCATTCAGACTTTAAGCTCCAGTCAGTCCTGTTTGGGACTTCTCTTTTTCTGGCTTCATGTCTTTTCTCGGCTTTTAAAATATGCACAGGTCTGACTTGGTCCTCTCAAGCCAGTGTCCAAATTCTTTTCCCTCTGTACACACAGCATCTATACTAGAGAACTTCTTGAAACAGTCAACTGCTGCTTTTCTCCCTGTAACTTCCTTGCCCTAATGTGAATTGCTTTAGTTGGGGGAATTTGGCTGCATCTAGTCTGGGTTCTTCATGGTTTTGATCTTTTTTTTTTTTTTTTTTTTTTTTTTTTTTTTTTTTTTTTTTTTTTTTTGCTAGTGTCTCATATAGCCCAGAGGATGGCCTTGGGCTCCTGATCCTCCTGCTTCTGTTAATAAAGGCCTATTAAGGTAAAACTCCTTCTGGTCAAGAAAATAGAATCTGTGGCCTGTGTAGAGACCTAACATTCCCAGATGGGCAGGTCAATCACCTGACAAAGGGACCACCCCAAGAAGGCAGGCTCACCTTAAGTCATGCTAAAGAGATAGGTGGAATAATTTTTCCTTTAGGAGACACTGTACTTTTCCTTCCCAGAAATCCATTCTCCTAGTGCCATCTCTTACAGAGTATAGCCATGCCGGCTTTTAAGTCAGCCCATTTTCCTGAATTACTTAGAGAAGCATAACTGTTCCTTTTCTTTCTATCTCTGCTCTAATCATGCCTCTCCTAACACCTTGGGCTTCCCCAACATTTTGGATGGCCTTATTCTTTTTCTTTAAAGTTCCCTTCCCTGCCAAGTGGCTGCTAGTCCGCCATGTATCTGAACTTCATGCTGGCTTAAATGGCATGTCTTTTTTCCCTTTCTCGCCTCCATTCTCCTCTTGTGGGAAGCTGCTGAGATTTATAGTTTATCTGGGAGTTTTTCATTTAAACTCTAATAAAATTGTTCTTGGACTTCCATTTCAGTCTATTCTTTTGTTGTTGTTATTTTTATTTTATATGTATGAGTATTTTGCATGCATGGATATAAGTGCCCCCTGTCATGCAATGCCCACAGAAGTCAGAAAAGGATGTAGGATCCCCTGGAACTGGAGTTACTGACAGTTGTTAGCTGCCATGTGGATGCTGGGAACTGAACCTCAGCCCTCAGCAAGAGAAGTCAGTGCTCTTAACAACTCAGCCATCTCTCCAGTCCCTGAATCTACTCTTAAATTCTTTTATCATTGAGTCTAAGAACCCCAAGAGGGGACCTTGATTTCCCCAGTATCATCTGACAACCTTAAAAAGACTCCCCCAAATTCTAGTAATACCTCCATCTCCCAGTGAGGATATTATAGGTATGTGTTAACATGCATGGGTACTTGGTGGTCATTTAAAAGCTGCTGGCAGGTAAATGCACTTGCACCCGAGCCTGCTGACTTGAGTTTAATCCATGGGACCCACAGGATGGAATCAGAGAGCCAGCTCCTGCAAGTTGTCTTCTGACAGCCACATTCTTGACATAGCATGTGCCCTACCTACCCCCAACAAAGACACAGAATTAAAAAATAAAAAATAAGGCCTGAATGCATTAATTGTAAGATTTTTAAGTAGATGTACCTTCCAGACAAGCCACTTTGGAGGCAGCATGGAGGACACGTTTGTTTCAAAGAGACTGTAGAGGAACTGCCTAGAGAGGATGATGGGTGCCAGTGGAATGGAGTAGGAATTTGAGACTTATTAAGCAGGTGAAATAGACAGGGCTCAGTGATTAATCAAGGGTGACTCACTCATTCCTAACTTTCTAATTCAGATGGCAGTGAGATGGTGATGCTAATAGCTGGGGGAGGAGCAGTTATGACGGCAGAGGATGAGTTCAGTTTTGGACACACCAAATTTGGTGTGTCTCTTGTGAGCTCTAGAGAGAGCTGCCTGGAAGGCAGCTAGATATTTGGTTCTCCATTTTATGGAAGAAGTCTGGTTGGAGATTGCTGAATTGGGAGTTCAAAGTGAGGCTGGAGATGATTCGCCAAGAGTGAGTGAAGTGAATACATCTGTGGGCTTCCCAGCCCTGCATTTCAGCTACTGCTTCACAATTGGTGGCATTTAAGGGTGGCACTGAATGAGGCAGAGGTCTCAGTTATTGAGTTGTGACAAGTGGGTGAATGTAATCCTTTGCAAACCAAAGTAGTGGCATGATTCCAGGTGAGAACAGCCACGCTTGTCAAAGGTAGCAGAGAGATGCAGAAAGGCAGAGGAAGCAAAGTATGCCTGTCAGGTATGGTGACATGAATTACTCTTGCTTGAGCAAGGTGGAGGATGTGTGTGAGTGTAGAGGGGATGTAGGGAGTGTCAGATTGTTAAGAGTTGAGGGATGAGGAAGTAGAGGCAGTCAGGGAGAGACCACTGTTTAAGAGGTGTGCATAAGAGAGCCAGAAGAACCTGGTAGCTAATTGGAGAGGGCACTCTAAGTGGATGATTGGCTTGACAGATTTATTTTTAGGACCTGAAGGGGCTTGAACCTGCTGAATGTCTGAGTATGAGAGTGAAAACAGTCAGGAGCCAAGGGAGCTTGAAGGGGGGGTTAGGGCACAGCTTTCGTGATACTTCTGCAGCCCTTAACCCATACTCACTCCCACAAAGTGAGGAAGGAAACACACAGGGGGTTTGAACTAAACTAAATTGTGAGTTGCCATTGGGAAAAGACAGCTGTTTTGGCCCAGTGTGCTGTCCATATGACCTGGTGTGCCCTGTGCTGAAATCCCAGGGCTCTATCCAGGCCCACACCAGGGGTGAGGGGACAAGAGCAGTGTGTTTCCTGCTCCCAACGAGGTGTATTAGTATCTTGGATCTGGGACAGTGTACTGCCCCAATCAGGTGTCACTCTGTGGGATGGACCAAGACAGCACACCCTTAGAGGTGTTCAGGCTGGATGGTCTTTGCTCCTTGCATAGTGTGCCCAAGTATGGCACATGCTGAGGACGCCTCCAAGACAGTCAATCAGCAAAGAATTTTGTTTGCAGCAAGGTGAAAGAACAATTGAGATGGCCAGGCGTCTGGGGTTCAGACAAGGTAGACTCAGGGCCGAGAAAGATGGCGGAGGCAGCAGGTGGCTGAGCGCTCGCTTCGCACGCTGGTTGCCCAAGTGGAAGACAGCAAAAACCAAACCCACGATTTGAATATCCGGCCGGGGCAGTGCCCCGAGATAAATCTTGTGTGGAGGGAAGTACTTAAATGCACTGAAGAGACTCCTTCTCCGGGAGGCCCAGGCGTTCTCTGGGCGTGGAAGCTTTCTCTAGCCTGCTCCTTCCAGTCATCTGCACAAAGCCTTGGGGCCAAGCAGGGCCGGGTGTTACCTTGGAATTCGAGTATTTTGTTTGGCGGTAGGTGGAGATATAAGAATAAAAGAACCTGAAGCCGGGACTCGGATCTACCTCGCTTTCCACCATACAAACACAAACTTCCTCCCTTGACTCTCCGAACTCATCACTGGGCCTCAGTTTCTCTGTTCATAAAATGGGGATTTGGACTATGAGCTCCTCTTTGCACTGCAAACAACTCACATTCCATCTCCTCCCGCCAAAAAGAGCCATTAGCGATCCCAGCCCGGCCCTAGGCTATTCCGGAGCGCCTTTGGCTAGCGGTTCTTTCCCGGGTGGGCTGGGGGCGGGGCGCTACAGACGCGAAGGTGGGCGGGACCGAGACTCGCTCCGCTAAGCCCCGCCCCCTGACGTCCCCTCCGCGCCCCTCTGCGCCGGGATGAGGCAATCACGTGACCTCACATCCGGCGCGGGAGTCCCGAGCTCGCGGCGCGCTCCCCGTGTGCCCGCCGGCTCTACCCGCAGCGTGACCCGGCGCCGGCCACGGGGAGGAGGGTTCGCTAGGTTCTTTGAGCTGGAGGCCGCGCCACCCGCAAGCGCTCACCGCCCCCCTCCCCTGTTTGCTTTCCCTGCCGCCCTCCCGTTCTCACTCTGCCCGGCTTCACCACCGCGGGCGCGGAGGAGCGGAGCGCGAACACCCGGCGCGGCCCGGGCACTGCCGCGGCGCCTCCCTCCCTAGCCCGGCTGAGGGCGATGGGGCTGGGCTGAGGCGAGGCGGCCACAGCGGCGTCCTGGCCCCCCCGTGGCTTCGGTGCTGCCCCGGCCGGGTGACCGCGGAGGCCACGGCCCGGCGGCACGGCTGGTGAGTGGCCCGGGCGAACGGGGCGCGAGGTGGGCGGCAGAGGGGATGGGGATGGGGATGGGGAGGCTGGAGGAGGCGGACGGCGGCGTCGGGTACCAGGTGAGTCCACGGCTGCTTCCTGCGCCGGAACTGGACATCACTTCTCAGGAAGATGTGTGTGGGGAGGGGGCGCTGAGACCCCGGGGTGTCTGGGTCAGGTGAGGCGGCGAGGAAGGGGCCACGTGTGGGGGTGGAGGCTTGCGGTGGATGCACCCGCTGTTTGCGGGACGGGCGGCGCGGGATAGTGGGCTAACCCCTCCAAAAGTCCGCAGGGTGATGTCCTCCGAGTGCGGCAGGGTCCTTCGTGGGTTCGTGTGGGTGCAGACTGTCGGAATTCGAGTTTGTCCCCAGCCACGCGTGGAATAGTAGATCTCTTTGCGGATCAGCGCATTTTACACGTAACTGAAGCTCAAAGGGGAAAGTGACTTCTGACTTGGTTAAGGTGTCTCACGCTGTCACGGGGCGGAGAGGACTAAACCCGGAGCCCCTTTGCTCTAGAACTTCATTGGTCGATCGTTCTCTTGGCATTATCATATCTTTATTGAGGGGTGTGGAGTTGAAAGGGAGGGAGGGGATGACATCGGGGATTGGCAGTGACTGGAGCTTCCCAATTTGGGAAGCCTTTGTGACAGGTGTTTATTTTTTTTTTTCCCTTAGGTCTGACAGAAGCATCTAGGATCTTCTGGACATAGGAGGTATGAATCCCATATAATTAACTGCTTCTTATAATTAGTGTCTTAGAGCTATATTTAGTGGTTTATATTAGTGCAAAATACATGGCTATGGAATCATAAACCTAGAAACTTAAGATTCTGAACTGAGAAGAACATACTTGAGTATGTAATAGTTATTTTCGATCCATGAGGCAAGAGGTTAGAATTTTTTTAATCTAAAAAATGTAGGGATTTTAAAGATGAACACTTGTAAAGGGTTTGTGGCTGATGTAAGGATATTCTGTGATTTTTATTTTTGAAGGGCCAGTATATAATTAAAAGTACTCCACCATTGATTAGAACTTAGCCTCTTTACCAAAACACACGTTAGTTTTCCTGCAGTGTATGTAGCATTCTTGCCGAGAATTGCCTCTTTGCTGACTGGGCTATGGCTGCCAAAGTAGCTGGTAAGTGAACATGCCATCCTGGTTTAAAGGCACATCCATTTCAGGAGGTTGTTTGAAATAGTAAACCTATTAATGATTGTTGTAAACAGTAAGTTTATCTTAAAACAAAGTCTGGCCATGTATCCCACGCTGGCCTCCATCTTATCATCATCCTGCCTTAGACTCCTGGTGGGATTGCAGGCATGCACCACTACATCTAACCTAGATGATAACTTTTGCTACTATCTTTGTGGGGTTTTGTTTGTTTGGTTGGTTGGTTGGTTGGTTGGTTGGTTGGTTGGTTTTTTTGGTCTTTCTGAGACAGGGTCTCCCTGTAGCCCCAGCCGGCCTGGAACTCACTATGTAGAGTAGGCTGGCTGGAACTCACTGAAATCCACCTGCCTCTGCCTCCCAAATGCTGGGATTAAAGGCGTGTGCCACCACGCCCAGCTGTTGCTACTATCTTTGTATTAATCTGTCCCCAATTATTTGCTATTAGATCAGGCTGAGGGAGAAATAGTTGAGATTTTTAAGCATGGTTAGAACAGCCGTGTCTCTTTTTCGGTTATGTAATTGAGCAGGAAAAGTGATGCTGTTTTATTGCTTCAATTAAGTAGTACAGTTATGATTAAATGAAAATATTAAGTGGTAGTTTATCTTGAAAATAAAACAGATAAACTTCAAGTTGATGGAGTGTTGTTTTGTAGGATGATTTCTTGGTCCAGGCCAACCAGTAAGCTTTATTTGGAGAATTTAATAGAAGTTAAAATGTTAGTTTAGAACTGCTTTGAAATAATATAAATTCCTATATTGGAATGAAACTGGTTTCATAGTAATTAGAACAAAGTTCTGTCTGAATATCAGCATCTTCTCATAAGCTAATTGGTTCTGCTTATCAGTGGCTAAAGACTTCACCTGGTTTAGTTCTTAATAATTATTTAGGTAGTATCAGCTTCCCAACTGTATATAAATATGGGTTCT